TTTTCTTTTCTTTTCTTTTCTTTTCTTTTCTTTTCTTTTCTTTTCTTCTCTTCTCTACTCTACTCTACTCTACTCTACTCTACTCTACTAGATAGGTTTACAGTTAAAATATTATAAAAGAACGGTACTATATGCAAAAAGAATACCTGCCATGGTTTCAACTCCTGAACAGTCAACTGATCTTTCTCACCCTTCACTTTCCTCTTGGATCTGGATGAATATGCAGCATTTAAGGCTCTGGCCACACTCCAGATGGAGTGATAAATGATGTAGCTGTTGAGAGACAGGATTGCTTCAATCTCTTCTTGGGGCAGAGCTTTTGTGTTCTCTTTCTCTGGGCATCTTGTCCAGCCTTTCACAGACAAGCCATGCTTGGAATAGGAACAAGGAAACACTTTGTTGATAAAGTCTTTGATAGAGCTGAGAACAGAATGAAAATCACCACATTTGGCATTTCTGCCTGTCTGGATCAAGAAGGAAATATAGCCATAGATGGATGGATAAATGTGTGACATATACTGTAAATCCAAAGTAATATCCCACATAGCTGAAGTGATCCAGAGCTTTCCAATTGTGGCTTCTATGCAGAACTCAATTATCTGTTGTGTTATGATTATTCCCACTACAAAGGTATCAACCTCTCCGGAGCAAACAAAGACATTGACTTGTGTCCACTTGCAAAATTCATAAGTATCAGCCGTTAGTTCATGGGCAGCCACTGGGATGCTTTGGGATAAAACAACACAAATGCCATTCCCAACAAGCAAAGGCGTCAAATTTTGGATGAACATGTACCCACCATCAGAGTCTGGTGCAACCAGACCGACCAACGTCCATCTAAAATGCTGGAGCAGTTTGATAATTGTGAGGTATTGAGCTCCTTCTTTGGGGACCACTTGGTAGAAAAAAGGGAAGACACTTTTATCACTCAGATCCTGTGAAACAAAAGTGTAACTGATCTGGAAAAGAAAAAATGTTTGAGCTATACGTTGAGTCAAAGCCAAGCCAAGATATTAGCAACTGAACCTGCAATTCATATCGGATATTAATACAGTTGAGAAAGTCCAGAGATATTTCACAAGAAGAGTTCTCCACTCCTCTACTTGCAATAGAATACCTTATGCCACCAGACTTGAAATTTTAGGCTTAGACAACCTAGAACTTCGCTGCCTTCAGTCCGATCTAACTGTAGTACATAAAATTATCTATTGCAATGTGCTACCTGTCAATGACTACTTCAGCTTCAACCACAATAGTACATGAGTACACAATAGATACAAGCTCAAGGTAAACCACACCAGACTCGATTGCAGGAAATACGACTTCAGCAGCAGAGTGGTCAATGCCTGGAATACTCTACCTGACTCTGTGGTTTCTTCCCCAAACCCCCAAAACATTAACCTTAGACTGTCTACTATTGACCTCACCCCTTTCCTAAGAGGTCTGTAGGGGGCATGCATAAGCACACCAACATGCCTACCATCCCTGTCCTAATGTTTCTTTTTATTTGTATCAGTGGTGGGATTCAAATTTTTTACTACCGGTTCTGTGGGCGTGGCTTGGTGGCCATGGTGTGGCTTGGTGGGCGTGGCTTGGTGAGTGTGGCAGGGGAAGGATACTGTAAAATCCTCATTCTCTCCCCACCCCACTAACCTGCTTTCCAGCTCCATTCTCATGTGCAGGGCAACAAAAGAAGACCCAGCCAATCAGCTGGGACTTGGGAGGCAGACAATAGATGGGGCCGAACAGAGGTGGTATTCTGAACTACTCAAAATGTCTGCTACCAGTTCTCCAGAACTGGTCAGAATCTGCTGAATAAACCTCTGATTTGTATCCATTTCATATATTCATAATCCTGTTTATACTTATCCCTGTTATCTAATATTTGCTTGACAAAATAAATAAAATAAATCTATGGTAAAAAAATGTGGTTTTTATATGATAGAAGGACCTCAAGTTTTTTGGGGGGAAGGTTATTTTCAGGAGACAGTTTCTATGGTTGGTCTACTCATAGGTTGGACTTCTTCCCCACCTGGCCTTGAGTAGAAGATGTTTCTTCCTCAAATATTTATTTATTTATTTATTTATTTATTTGATTTGCCAATTGTTTACAAGATAATAAGTATAAGCGTATACATAGTTGTGAATACATGAAATGGGTACATATAAGAAAAATAAAAGAATAAGAGAAACAATAGGACAGGGACGGTAGGCACGTTGGTGCGCTTATGCACGCCCCCTTCAGACCTCTTAGGAAGGGGGTGAGGTCAATAGTAGACAGTCTAAGGTTAAAGTTTTTGGGGTTTGGGGAAGAGACTACAGAGTCGGGTAGAGTATTCCAGACGTTGACCACTCTGTTGCTGAAGTCGTATTTCCTGCAATCAAGTTTGGTGCGGTTTACTTTGAGTTTGTATCTATTGTGTGCTCTTGTGTTGTTATGGTTGAAGCTGAAGTATTCATTGACAGGTAGGACATTGCAATGTATGATTTTATATACCATGCTTAAGTCAGACCGAAGACGGCGTAATTCAAGGTTTTCTAGTTCTAGAATTTCAAGTCTGGTGGCATAAGGTATTCTACAATGAGTAGAAGAGTGGAGAACTCTCCTTGTGAAATATTTCTGGACTTTCTCAATTGTGCTAATATCCGATACGTAATGAGGGTTCCAGACTGATGAACTGTATTCGAGTATTGG